TGCCTGCGCAGTTACAGCTGTGCTAAACAGCAGTTTCGCGGAGCAAAGACGTGGAGACCTGGAAGATGGCCGATGCAGTGCCTGTCCCCAAGCTAAAACCTGTTACCGACATCAACAAACATCTTCGTCCGATCTTCGTAACCCCTGTAATATGTAACATTATCGTCGCTCTCCATGTCGGCCTTGCGGTTCTAGAGGTGATTGATACAAAACAGTATGGTTGCATCCAGCGTCCTCTTCCCTACACGCCCTTACGTCTATGCTACATACCTCGTTACAAGCCACTTACAGGCCTTGGGCTGCTGTGAGAGTGGTCCTGTTCGATTGTAGGCAGGCCGTCGATCTAAGCGACCACACCCTGCTTGTGCGCAAAGGTTTCGGCCTACCTATTCCTCGCGCTGTTGCCCTCTGGGTGGCCGACTTCTTAACGCATAGACAACAACGCGTTAAGTTGTCTGGAGACTGTTTTTCTGGGTGGGGCCCTGTGCCCGATGTTGTGTCTCAAGGAACCAAACTAGGCCCATTGCTATTCCTCAGGGTTTCCAGTGCAGACATAAATAGGCGTACGGGAAATTTTTTGCCAGGTGGGGGCGGTAAACCATTTGCCCAAAAACTTCTCGCAAGTTGCCCGAATTTTTACGAAACGTACAAGACTGGTCGAAAAGAAACGAGGGCCATACGATACAACAACATAGGCCGCACTGGCATATGAAGGTGGCTCGATACTGTAACAGTTTTTCAGGGTCAATACATCCCAATTCCGGGCATAACTACTATACGTCGCCATAGACAAACATTTGGAAAAATTGCCACCACAGTTTTATTAGATAAAGATGAAAATTTGTCATGATCACGAATGCAATGACATCGGAGTTGTCACAGCAACGAAATGACGGCCATTGCCTATATTACTTGCAGTAACATTTCTCAGCACAGGGAACTGTTCTTACAAAATCGTTCACGGAAGCTTTTTCCTCAAATAGTCGCCTCGATGTTCGTGAAGTTAAAACGGAAACTGTGAGAGTGTTATTGGGATATTTTGGGATGAAGTTTTTATCGTTAGAAATATGGTAAAAAAGTAAAATCTTGATGTTTGGCCGTTATCGAACTGAGAACTAGTCAGCCACTTCTTCATTTTCAGACCCATTGCTGATGCTATCTGCCATACACTATTCTACAAGCGGGAGATGATTCTAGAAAGATATGCAGAAGTGTATTCTAATCAATTCACGACTGGAAAGAGCCCATTCCAGTTAGTGCAGTGCAGTACAGTGCTCAACAGTAAAAAACTATAAATATGTAAATCAACGTATGAGACCCTTTCCTAAAAACCAGAAACTCATCACATGCTAGGCAACCAGTGTCTCGAGAGAAAGTAACTGGATTATTACGCCGACGTCAGGATTTTTGTCAGATTAAAATATAAAATATTTATCTCTTCAAAATAATGATAATAAAAAAGAAACATGGAAACGTCTGTAAAACCTGGCTTTGCCCAAATTTTCTCTTGCTGCCCAAAAAATCTGAGTTGCCCAAAATTTGGGGGGGCTGCAGCCCCCCTCGCCCCCCCGGCCCGTACGCCTATGCAGACATATGGAAGTACGTTGATGACACTTACTAGACAGATTAAGCATCGCATTTACGGCAAAAGGCAAACGTGAATTTGTACCACGTGACCAAGTTTCCTCTTTACTTGTCGTTTACTGTTCATTTTAACTACATGAAAATCGATAGGTTCACATCAATTCTATCCATAAGAATTGTTTTAAGCTGTTTTTATCTGCTCATTTCTCATTTTGATAATTTCTCAACTTGAATCTCACGTTTGCCATTTGGCATAAACGCGATGCTTAATCTCTCTACTATTGCTGAGTTGGTCCCGCGAGGTGCACAGGGTAACATTCGAAGCGCAGTTAGTGCCGTCGAGTACAGATCAGGTGAGCAACGCATGCAACTAAATGCTGACGTAAATGCAAGGAGATGAAACTAGATGATCATCGACTTCAAAAAGAACCAACACGTCTTCACCCTGTTGTGGTCGACGAGAAGGAGCTAGATCTTGTAAATAGTGTCAAAATTTTAAGTATAACACTGTCTAGCGATCTCAAGTGGAACGTTTATATAAATGAAACTATTAAGGAAGCAAATAAGCGTTTGTATTTTTTGGTTCTGCTAAAGAGAGGTGGCGTAAGCTGTTAAGATATTGTCAACTTCTACAGTACAGTAATAAGACCAGTACTAGAATATTGCTCGCCCATTTTCCACCATAGCCTATTTACCGACTATCTAAGTGAGCGTGTACAAAAAAAGCACACTGTCCATAATAGCGCCTGATAAATCATAAGAACACTGTTTAGTCAGTTTTGGTCTCAGCACTTTATATGATAGGCATAACGATCAGTGTATTAAGCTGTTTAATGGTATATCGTCGGATTAGCACGAACTCGCTTGCTAGCTGCTTCCTCCGAAACACCAAGGCTACTACAATACCAGCCAAGAGAGAGTTTACGACTTGCCCCGTTTTGGCACAAACCGCTTCAAAAACTCGTTCATACCAGCTGCCATGTGCGGTCGTGCAAACATGTTATTATTAGTATTACGATATTTTTCTTCTCTTTTTCAGTTCTTTAGTATCACTTTTCCTCATTAAGAAAATTGTAATTAGAATTTTAACATTATTTCATACCTTTTATAGTATTGTATTAAACTAGGGGTAATCGGAGCTTAGGAGAGTGCGTTCGATATGTTTGTTGAGGCGGAAGGGTGGTTGCGATGTAGATAAATATGATTATGGCATATTTTGAACGTAAGGGTTGCGTACAGCGAAACCTCTATTTAAACTGTGTATCATTTTAAGAACGTTTTCAAAAGATATCGTATGGTTCGGTGTCAAGTGCTTTTAATCGGAGGAGACATCGCCCATTGCGTCGGACGTGTAAATGGAACATTTTGTTTTACTGGCGCGAGTTACAGGGCGCAGTTTCTCAAAGGCCGATTAGTTCTTAACCCGGGATTCTTTTTCTTTCTTCAAAAAAATTTTTTCGGATAATTTTCTCTGTTATTTTAACAGCATCCAATCATCAACTTGTTGACAAAATGAATTACATTGAATTTACTGGTTTAAAAGCTTTCACATCTGAATTCAAACTTCGCACTAACCCTATCAAAGCCTTCAATGGAACGTGTGTGCGGCTCACGTCAATAACTTTTCCAGTAATTTGGTCGAGCGTGTTGATTTCAGTGACTCGAGAGTGGCGCTACTGTGGGCTGATTTATAAGTTTTTCGTAATAAATAACATAGAGTTAAAGTGTACTTTGTCTGGTGCCGAAAATATCACAAGTCATGGTCAAATGACGCCGCCGAGCATCACATCTCGGTAGATTTACTTTGTGGCACAAAACGGCTGCCGAGCTACACAACTCGTAAATTTACTTTGTGACAAAACGGCTGCCGAGCTATACAACTCGGTAAATTTACTTTGTGGCATAACGGCCGCCGAAGTAAACCCGGTTTGATGCATGCACCAGGAGTCGCAGACATTTTCCAAAGACAGTGACGAACCATGCTGAAAAATAAGAAGGCTTAATCCAAAGTAAAATTTAACAGCAAACTCCTGAAAGATGAACGCTTTGGACGATTCAGCAATGACAGATCGATGTACGCTTTACGAAGATTCAGCAAACTTTTTAAAAGATGAACGCTTTACGAAGACAGAATATCAGACCTTAGCAAACCTTTGAAGGATGAACGCCGAGGACACAAGAATCACCACATGAGTTAGCGCGTCAAAGTAAGGCAAACCTTAAGCAAGCGCCTCAAAGCGAGGCAAATGTGTGTCGACAACGACGAACAAAAATGCAATCTCAAAAAAACCTCCCTTATTAATTGCACAGGTCACCCAATAATGCACAGAACACCCAACACAAATTAGGAGTTGCGTTCTCGTACCTTGAACGCAAAAACAACGCAATTCTGCCTGTCGGCGGCAATTTAATTCAAACTCTTATTTGTGCATTTGGAAATGTCTCTCATGGATTCTACTGACTCAAACGCGTGAACTCGAATGATACTGAAATAGCCTTAACATTAAGACGATCCAGGTCTTTACTAAAATATAATTACCTGTGCAGTCAACTCCGTTCCCAGAATACCCTGGCTTGCAAGTACACTCGAAAGATCCTTCAGTGTTATTGCAGTCTGCATTGGCGTCACAGTTGTGTTCTCCTGTTATACACTCGTTTTCGTCTGCAAATCAGGTGTAGGATTGAATCATCAAAACTGATTTAATTAACCTTTTATTTTCTAGGATTGGGTATGGTCGGTAGAGAGACAGAGAGACAGAGAGACAGAGACAGACAGACAGACGGAGAAAAGACAGAGAGAGTGAGCTTTCTTGCTTTGCTGAAAAGCAAAAACAATATTGCTATATATTGGGGCGGTGAGTGATTGAACAAATAACATTACATGTTTAGATCGAGGATGAGCGAAACCTAATGAAGCAAGATACTGAAGCATTCAGAATGACTTCCCAGCTGAAGAAAACCTGCCAACAGAAGGAGGAATAAAAAGAGACACGTTTCCGCTAAAACTCTGAAGGTGGTGCGGAACAAAAGACGGAATTGTGTACACACACGGATCTGATTTTTAAATGCAGAAAGCTCACCCAGCATGAATGCGTGTGCGGACATGACAATCTTGAATGGGGACAATTATAATACATTAAAAAAACTTAAAGATCTCGAGCATGTTAATTTTAAGGCAAAGACTGCATTCAGATACTGCAAATCACAAACTATAGCAGTACGCAAGGGCATTTCGATACTTATTATTCAGCTTAAAAGAACAAACTGAGCCTCTAGGTACTAAGCAGCTTACTACCTTGTGGCTGAACTTGGGTTTAATGCGAGATAAATGGAGTTGATTAGGAAAAGATTATAAATACAACCAAGGTACTGTTATTACCTGTGCAGTTAACTCCATCCCCAGAATACCCTGGCTTGCAGATGCACAGAAAAAATCCATCAAAGTCTAGGCAATCAGCGTTTGCATCACAGTTGTGCTTTCCCGCTTCACACTCATTTATATCTGCAATTAAGAAGTCAGACACTGAATAAACTGATTAAGTTTTTCTTTCACGGTAGATAACTGTGGCCTACCATAATAGCCATTTTATGCGATCAATATTTCAATATTATTTTCCGAGATCCAAAAACTTTCATTATCTAACCGCGGTCTTTCTTACACCTTTCCCCTTTGAAATTAATTTTCTTAGCAAAAGGCTTCGCACTTCGCATCGTTTTAAGACAGAAGCTCGCGTGAAGTCGAAAATGGACTATAAGAATTACAATTAAATACCTGCCTTATTATAGGAAATTGATGCTCTATAATACTAAAAGGTATTATGGAAATTAACGCGACTTAAATTAAGGCGAATGTAGTGGAAAACGACTTTCGAACAGAGGAAATTAAGTGATGGGAAAGAGACGTGGCTACGAAGTATCTCAGTGAGTGTCTCAAATGAGGGATCTTTAAGTGTTACCTGTACATTTATTTTCTCCATTTTTAGAATAACCTTCCCCGCAAGCACACCCGCGTTTGTATTTTTTTGGTTCAGCTTGAGCTTTAAAGATATTGTGAACTTCTACCGTACAGTAATAAGACCCGTACTAGAATATTGCTCGCCGATTTTCCACCATAACCTAACCGACTATCTAAGTGAGCGTGTACATAAAAGAGCGCTGTCCATAATGGCGCCTGATAAATCATACGAACACTATTAACTTCAGTTTTGGTCTCAGCACTTTATGATAGGTGTAACGATCAGTGTATTACAGTAAGCTGTTTAATAGTATATCCTCGGACAGGCACAAACTCGCTTGCCTCCTTTCTCCGAACCACTAAGGCTACTACCATACCAGGCATGAGAGATCGAGTTTACGACTTGTCCCCGCTCTCGCACAAACCGCTTCAAAAAGTCCTTCATACCAGTCATGTGCGGTCGTGCAAACATGTTATTATAATGTCAGTTTATGTCTTATTACATTATTTTTCTTTTCTTTTTGCTAATTAAGGTCTCGGTAAATGAAAATTTTAGTACATTGCTCAATTTTGTTTTTTTTTTTTTTGGATTTTTGGCATGAATGGGTCCTAAATTTTATTTTGGCAGAAAAAGAAAATCAGAAAGTGCTTTTTAACCCTTCTAAAATGAGCCTTTTCTGTTTCCCGCCATAAATTGCGCGCGAAAAGTGATTGACAGCCCCTGTCTATTGCGTGACACTCACTCTATTTTAGACGCAAAAATCAAAATTCTCCGACCTCCAGTCGGGACGGGTTTTAAGCTATCGCTTTGAAACTTTCAGATATGATGGATAATGATGTGGACTCAAAAAGGGTGTGAAGAATTTTCCAATTTCCCTTTATAACTCATTTTATGTCAGTTTCTTTGCGTAAATCGCGCTCGAGATTCGACTTTTTAGTTTGAAATGCAATAATTCCGCTAATACGAGACATATGCAAATTTCCTCACACCCGTTTTTAGGTCTTTTATCTGTCAATCAGATGCAATAAAAAGGAAGTGAATATTTAACAACGCGAAAGGGCTGGAGCTTCAGCAGTAAACTCGATACCTCTGAGTTCGAGAACAAAAAACTTAAGCGCCTTTTGAAATTCGATGAAATAAAATCTTTTATAAGGTAATTTAGTCTTTTAGCTTTAATTTGATATATAACTTGCCTTTGTAGCGAAAATACTAGCGCGACTAGAATTTTTTTCTGTGGGCACCTCGTTTTCCTTTACCGATACGTTAACAAAATGGTAATTAGCCTTTTACCATTATTTTATACCTTTTATGGTGTTGTAAATAATTAAGCAATTTAGCCTGCCGGCTGCAATTTGATTATTTTGTTAAACCGATCTATCTATCTACCTTTACTGGAGGAAGTACGGCCTTCAGTGGATTGATCAGATGTAAGGTCGATCGAGCTGTATTGGGTCACCACAAAACTGGGGATAACATCCTCTTCACTCTACATAATTCTTCACATCCTACTTACCCTCATTAAGTAATTACTAATTATGACAACGATCACTTTGTCGATGATGCTAGACTTCAAACTTTTATTTGTGCATTTGGAAATGTCTCTTATAAATTCTACTGACTCAAATGCGTGAACTCGAGACAAATGATACTGAAATAGCCTTAACCCTCGGACGTACGAGGGGGGTGGGGGTGGATACCACCCCTCCCCGTAAGGTTTTTCTGATTTTTTTTTCCCTAGAGGATAAAACATCAGCATGTGACGTTTTCAGTAGCTGTTCTTTCAACCCTTCGCACTTTTTGAGACAAATTCAGTGATGGTCAGTTGCTATGGTTACGAGATATGACGTCATAAGGAGCAGGCGGTCAAGCCATATTTGGGTTAAAATACATGTTTTTTCAACTTCTTTCAACAATAAGAGTAAATCTTGCGGCTTAAATCGTGCCGAGTGCTTATTTATGTGTTATTTTTCATGTAAAGCACAAAAAATTACTATTTCTCGCGGTTTTAACTTGATTTCTTATTCTTGTTAAAATCCAAGATGGCGATCATTGTTGGTGACGTCACAGGCCTCCAGCAGCGCCACCATCCATAAAATATACCTCATCTTCTTAAGAATATCAAAGGCTCTCCACTTAAGGTAAAATCGTTTGGAAATGCTGCAACATATCAAAAACTCCGGGGAGGGGTTTCATCCACCGCCCCCCGCCTTTGTACCACGGTGGGGGTTTGAATTTGCGTGTACGTCGGAGGGTTAGCATTAAGACGATCCAGGTCTTTATTAAAATATAATTACCTGTGCAGTCAACTCCGTTCCCAGAATACCCTGGCTTGCAAGTACACTTGAAAGATCCTTCAGTGTTATTGCAGTCTTTTTCTTTAGCATCACAGTTGTGTTCTCCTGTTATACACTCGTTTATGTCTGCAAATCAGGTGTAGGACTGAATCATCAAAACTGATTTACTTAACCTTTCATTTTCTAGGATTGGGTACCGTCAGAAGAGAGAGCTTTCTGGCTTTACTGAGATGCAAAAAGATTATTGCTATATATTGAGCCGGTTAGAAATGAAGAAATAACATCAAATGTATAGATAGAGGATTAGCAAAACCTAAGGAGGCAAGATAATGGAGACTGCAGAAGGACTTCCCAGCTTAAGAAAAACTACCAACAGGGTACGGTCGGAGGAGAGAGAGAGCCTCGGAGAGAGAGAGAGAGGGCTTTCTAGCTATACTGAGAATCAAAAAGATTATTGCTAAATATTAGGGCGCTGAGAAATGAACAAATAACATCACATGTGTAGATAGAGGAGATAGAAAAACCCAAGGAAGCAAGATACTGGAGAATGGAGAACGACTTCCCAACGGAAGAAAAACTGCCAACAGAAGGAGGAATAAAAAAAGACACATTACCGCTAAAACTCTAAAGGTGGTGAGGAACAAAAGACGGAATTGTGTACCGAAAATGATCTGATTTTAAATGCAGAAAGCTCACCCAGCATGAATGCGTGTGCCGACATCACAATCTTGCATGGGGACAATTATAATTCATTAAAAAAAGACTTAAAGATCTCAAGCATGTTACTTTTATGGCTAAAATTGCATACAGATTCTACAAATCACAAACTATAGCAGTATGCAAGGGCATTTCGATACTTATTATTCAGCTTAAAAGACAAACGGAGCCTCTAGGTACTAAGCAGCTTACTACCTTGTGGCTGAACTTGGGTTTAATGCAAGATAAATGGATTTCATTAAGAAAATATTATGAAGAAGACCGACGCTCTGTTTTCACCTGCACAGTTAACTCCATCCCCAGAATACCCTGGCTTGCAGGTGCATACAAAGGATCCTTCAGTGTTTTTGCAAATAGCGTTTGCATGACAGTTGTGCTTTCCTGCTTCACACTCATTTATATCTGCAATTAAGAAGTCAAGCACTGAATAAACTGATCTAGTTTTTCTTTCACGGTAGATAACTGTGGGCTACCATAATAGCCATTTTATGCGATCAATATTTTAATATCCAAAAAGTCTTATTTTCAAAACGAGGTCTTTCTTACTCCTTTCTCCTTTGAAATTAATTTTCTAATCAAAAGGCTTCGCACTTCGCCTCGTTTTAAGACAGAAGTTCGAGTGAAGTCGAAAATGGCTTATTGGAATTACGATAAATTACCCGCCTTATTATACAGGAAATTAATGCTCTATGATACTCAAAGGTAGTATGGAAATTAACGCGACTTACATTAAGGCAACTTCGGTGGAAAACGACTTTCGAACAAAGGAAATTGATGTGAAAGACACGTGGCTACGAAGTCTCTGAGCCTTTCATTTAAGGGATCTTGAAGTGTTACCTGTACATTTATCTTCTCCATTTTTAGAATAACCTTCCCTGCAAGGGCAGTCGAAGGATCCTTTAGTGTTATAGCACCATCTAGTGACGTCACAGTTGTGTTTTTCTGTTTCACACTCGTCTATATCTGGAAATGAAGAGTTAATGCTGAGTTATCAAACTGAATCAGTTCGATTTTTATGTCTATTGAATGAGGGATCAGTAGTAATGCAACGCTTTCGAGTAGTAGAAATAGTCCACGAACGAATAAATCAATTTCCAAAATAAAGCAATTTCAAGGAACACTAATTCAATTCATGCCACTTATAACAACGGTAAAATGCCAGAAAAAATCAGTGGCAAATAATTATTAAAGGTTTTACATGTTGCAAGTTATATCTTTTATGACGAATGAGCCCGCAAAAGAATAAGAAATAATTATTTTGACGGCACGAGAAACAGCAGGGCCTGGGTGTTAGGCCAGGGGCACCATGGGTAGCCATACCTGTGGTATTACATATCACGTGTGCGTCATCTAGGCTTCTGAACCAACCTTCCTTCGGTTTTCTCCTTTTTTTTTTTTTTTGGGGGGGGGGGGGGGGTTTTTTTTGGGGGGTGCTTTTTGGTTAATTTTTAAAAGCTCTTGTTTCTTATTAATTTTCCTTACCTCCATTTTTTTCCTCTAAGTATTTTTTGGGGGTTTTTTTTTTTTTTTTTTTTTTTTTTTTTTTTTAAAAAGAATAAAAAAAAAAAGGCATTGATTATAATATATAGGTGTCTTTTGTGTTACTATTTTTTTTTTATTAATCAAAAGGGTGGCAAAAAAAAAGATATAAATCTATGTTTCCTGGGGTTTTTGTTTTTTTTTTTTTTTTTGGGGGGGGGGGGGCTTATTTTAGGAGCTGCCTATTTCGATTAACTTGTAAAGTCCTTGGTTCCTATTAACATTTCCTACACTCATTCTTTTCCCTTCAGAGATGTTTGGGCAGTTTTTTTATTTTTATTTTTTATTTATTTATTCTTTCTGGCCTCTGTCTGACCGCATTCATTTCTGTTGGTAGCTCAGCTCTGCTAGTTTTCAGAATTGTATCCTATTTTATACATTTGTACGGTTAGCCCCCTCGTTTTGCACCTGTTCCTTAAGTTATGTATTTAGTCTCAATGTACGCTTAGGTCAAATTGGCAATGTTACAGACCTCCAGCCAGGTTCATTATCCATCTCTTTACCTTGAATGTTGTGCCCGAACCGTTTCTAGCAGCAGTTTGTTATTAGTGAAGATGATCCGGTACGCTATATCCAAAACAGATCCCAAGTGTTTCTGTCTCTAAGCCTTTGTGCTCTTACTATACAGTGTTCCTGTCTCAGAGGTCTGTTGGTCAGAGTTTTTGTTTCCCCAGCCTGAGTGGCACTAAGCCTGTGTGCTTAATTGGGGATGCAGTTCGAGCTCGACCAGTTGTAGCATATATTATTCATTATTTTTTTGTGAAAGCAACTGAGTACAAGTGTTGCAATTAGTTATTTGTCTTTGTCCATATTATGTTACCTGCACAGTTGACACCATCCCCAGTGTATCCTGTTTTGCAAGTACACGTGAAGGAACGCTTGGTGTTGATACAGTACGCATCATCGTGGCAGTTATGTAGTCCTGCTTTACACTCGTCTACAAATTAGCAAGTAGAGGTTAGTTACAAGAATTCCCTTTTCAACAGTTATTTTGATTATTTATTTTGCCTTTTTTTGAGCTCAAACAACTGATATCATGATCTCTTGGTTAAAACTGATTCAGAAAACGTTGGTCTCAATACTCCAATCAAGAAATGTTGCATCCCTCAAGGGCCTGTTGAGTACCGTGTTGCTAGGCTACGCGGTGCATATATCACCAATTCATGATAATTTTCTTCGCATTTGATAATGATGACATGGAGTCATAGAAACATCGTGTTACCTTTGTATCGTTGATTTTTCTTTTAAAATGTATGTCGAAATCGATTGTTATCAGAATTGTATATCAATTGAAAAAGTTTGATCGAATTGAAAGGGTTAATAACTTGAGAGAAAGGCTTCGAATTTGCATATAGTTTTATTATTTAAGGGAAAAATTTCTCCTCATCCACAACCGTTTAAGCCCCCAATTTTTCCAAATAACGCTCATCAAGTCTCATCTTTAGAAACGGACTGATCAAAATTTAGCGCACCCTAAGTTTTCATTTGCTACCAAGTGACGAAACTTTTTTCCATGAGAGGTTGCTACGAAATTGCTTTTTTACCCACTTCTCGCAAAATGACTCATGGACTAGAAATCATTTGTCAAAAATATTACCATCAAATTCCAATTTCCGAAAATTTTGTGCGTTTTTAGAAAAAAAAAAATAGCATAATCGTTTTCGGAAGCTTTCTTGCCTGATCTCATTTATTCCTTTACATATCTAGTCCAACTTATAGCCTTTCATCTCGCGGAATTGGGGCTATTTAGCTTTCCGGAATAAGGTGAATTTAAACTGAAAAAATTAGTCCGGGAGAATAGCGAAATTGGCAGTGGATTTTTGCCCAAAATGTTGGTCTATAACTGTAATGGGATTAGTCAGGATTTCCATAATAAGGTAGCAGTGTACCAAGTCTTTTAACCTTCACCGTCTGGTTAGCTCAGTCGGTAGAGAGCCGGTCTGCTGAGAGGGAGGGCGCGGGTTCAAACCCTGACCGGACCAACACCGGGGGTCATTGAATAACTGAGGAGAAAGTGCTGCCTTTGTAATGACATCTGTAAACGGTTAGAATTTGTAATATTCTCAGATAGGGAAGAAAAACCGCTGGTTATCTGGTACTTGTGAAACCTAAAAGAACCCACACCACTGTTCGAAAAGAGTAGGGGACGATGATTCCGGTGGTGTGACCAACCTTTCCTCGGCTGAGTGAGTTATCTGTAGGAAGAAATTTTAATATAGGGACCTTGAACCTCATGATCAGGAGTCGAAATGGCTACCTGTGGACAGTATATGTATGTATAACTTCCTGGATTCGCTGCTTAACAACTAAATGGGTTAAGCTAAAAGGGTAAGTGGCTTTAGATATGCAAAATTTGCATTGTTCCATATAGAACACACCCAGCTGTCCCAAAGGGTTAAACTATTGAAAAGGGTGCGCAATTCGCGCGGAAGGACTTGCTCATCCAAGGTTTTTAATATTGTTATTTATTTTCATTTTTTAACCTACCTAAGCACGTCATTTCAATTTCTCTGGCGATTTCTTCCATTAGTTCTCTGTTTCTTTCGCGCTCTTTAATAAACTCCTCCTCTTCTTTATTCCTCGGAACAGGACAAACTGCAAAGTAGCATCACAAATGAACAAAAAATTTTAATCTGTAAGCTAACGACATTTTATCATGGGCTATTGACTCAGAGCCCATTCGGGCTCGAGGAATAATTGTTAATAATAATATTATAATAATAATACAGTCAATTTTTTCTAAGACAGATACCTTCTGGTCCCGTCCCGACTCTCCGTCTATTAAAGGGACTGAGGTGTCCCGCTAATAGACAGTCAAAGTAAGGTGGCGCCAGTAATTACAAGGAAATAAAGCTGAACTTATTCGCGATAAATACACATCTGTTACACTTGTGCAAAACAATAAAAAAATCTGAACTATAATGTACTCGAAAGGTGAATCATTTTCTCATTGTACAATCACACGTGGTTCGTATACATGTAACCGTTCACGGCGTCTACTGAACAGCAACAGTAACACTAAACTAAGTCCAATTTCCCTCGAGTTTCACCCACTTTCCAATCATCCTTACACGGCTAACTCGAACTCGGATAACTCGAATTTCCTGCTAACTCGAACTAAATTTCCTATCCCTTGATTAAAAATGTAGTTGTAACATGGCAACTTAATTTTTTGTTTCCCTTCAAAATTCGAATTACCGGGGTTCTACTGTACATTAATTACCGTAAGTACTAAATCATGAAAATTAAGTCGTTATAACGGTTTGTTTTGATGTCACTTTCTGAAGTTCCTACAAGGCTCAAACAGTTCAGCTAAAAGACCGAGAAGATTGTTTGTTTTACAGGTTAAGACGTTCTCTTCATTTGGCTTTAGAAGATACGAGCTGTAAGAAGACGCGTACTGTATTTGGGTATGTAATTTGCTTACCCTATTTGCAATCTATACTGTCATGTAGTGCACCTACATTTCCGTTTCGCGGTATTTTTCACTACCTAAAGCACTTCTCAATTGTCCGTTAATGGTTTCAAAAGAGTCGGTTGTCCGTCTTTGAGAGGTTTCCGTCTTATAGAGAGCATAGTTACAGTCAAATGACTGGACAATGACAGGGGCCAACACCAGAGGGTTGTCCGTCTAAAGAGGTGTTTGTTAAGGGAGGGCTGACTGTATAGCAAATGTATTTCAAATCCATTAGAGAAGGAAACAATAGCGTAAAGCAATTCATGAACGGACACTGAACGAAAGAAATCTTGCCAAATGTTGATCGCGCATTTTTGAAGTGTAAAATTAAAAAATAATAATAATATTAGAAGTTGTTAACATATTCACCATTTTTACATCGCCCGTAAAACATCTTGTTTACCCCCCAAAAATTTTGCATCAGTAATATGACTGCTTATACTTACAGGAAAAATTGAAAACAATTCTCATGCAAATTTTATGGACGATGTAAAAATTATGGTGAATAAATCCTCGGAATGATGTTTTAGGGAAAGTGTAAAAGTGAAAATTTTAAGCGGCTTTCTGTACATGAAGCAGAGTAGACAGGACGCTGAAATATAATGGCGACAATCCGCAGGTGCGCAATTAAATTTGTTGTAGTTGTTAGTTGTTACCTCCATGATTTACATCTTCCTCTGTTATCATCGCGACTGGGAACATGATAACGAAAATAATGATTAATGTTTTCATGCCTGCCATCTTTCAATCTGTTGAAAACAAAATAATCATGGTTCATAGCATGTCACTAGATTTATTTCGTGGGTGCTAAAGAGTTAGGCACGCAAAGTTTAATAACCACGAGTAAGCGGGAGGGGAGGGGAGGGGAAGAAGGAGGTACCCTGGAAAATAGACTTTGATAGACTATGCTCGCAAAAGTAGCATGATATGCTACTTGCAGTGCTCGTATATTTCTAAAATTACGCCAATAATTCTGCCAGTTTTTGTAAATTAAGCTCGTTTTAGCAAACAAAATGCAGAAATTATGCTTCTCACTTTTTACTTTAAATTTGTTTTAAAAATAAAAACCACCTCAATGCTTCATGTACAAGTAAATGGCAAACTCATTTACCCTGTTTACACCAAGAAACTTTAAGAGTCCTTAATTCATTGTCTGACAAGTATGAAAACTGAAACAATATAAACAACCGACAAGCGGACGCTACCCCAGGTAACCGAGATAGTTATGTCCGTAAGTTGAGTCTTGTGGAGAGAGTCCTGAGTCACTTCCTGTTGGACCCAGGTCCCATAATGTGACAATAAGCAGACAAATAAATGAATTCGTTACTTAGATTTGCCTGAAACACAGATCTCGGACCAAAAACATTGGTTGCATGTTCAATAAATGACAATTTTTGTACTGCAAAATTATAACAAAATATGCAAATTATGCTAGTAGTGCTTTTTTTTTTCG